AAGAAAGAAAAAATTATTTGGAAAGCAACGCATGAAGTTTATGCAAGGACCAGAAGTTGGAATTCTAAGATCAATGAAAGGGTAAGGTCAAGAATCTATAAATGCAATAACGTAAAGAGAATATTATTCATCAGAATTTTGCTAAACCAAAATCAAATTAAATTTAAGAAGTTTTGACAAAACTTTCTGGTTTGATTTTTGAATCCAAAACATTTTAGAAGTCAAAGAAAGAATTGTGAAAAATTGTACTCTTCACGTTATTTGTTTTGGAATATACTGAAATTTATTTGAAAACGCTAGTACACTGATAATATGTACAAAGGATTTAGTATCTTACACGGACATTATAATAAATTTTTACAGTATTTAGAGGAATTTTACTTGCCATAGCAGGTTAGTTTCTTTATTTTTCAAGTTATAAATTTTACTTAAATAATGAATTGCTTGTAACTATTTTTTAATTGATGTGATAGTGTTAAAGAATTTAAGCACTATTAATGTACAGTTAAAATACTTTAAAAGATTTAATCCGTTGAACCTGGCATCTAAACAAAATTAGACAAAAATTAATCGAGGAATAACACCATTACTCTAGTTATTATTATTATTATTTTGCTCTAATTGAATAAAATTAAGCTTTGTCAAATAAATAAGTGGCTGTGACCAAGTCTTACGTCCCTGCTGTTTATTTATTTATTTATTATTATTTAGTGCTAATTGTTATTGTTGACGTTAAGAGGTCTAAATTTCTAACACTTGACTGTCCTTTTAGTCTCATTGACCGTTTGTCCTTACAGAGACCAAAAACTAGTAATACTAATAGGAAAAAAACAGTAATCTTGGATTTGTCCATTTAGATATTTGCATGATTAGGTCCTTAATTATGATATATTGACGAGAAATTAAAGAAAATAAAATGCATTAAAATAACTAATTACAATTTGAATAGAAGAAAATAATCACATTAAAGAAGGACGAGATTTAATTTATTTAATTTTGAAGGGACGTCTACAATTTGGATTGTTCTGAATCTTTTGGTTTTTATATTTTGGTTGTTTCAATCATGAATAGAAAGGAGCAGCACTAATATAACTTCTCTAGGATTATATACGTATTTTCTTTTTCAGTATATTCCGGATTGTACCTTGACAAATATTGCAATGAAGTTAAGAGTTTAGTGTCCTAATGTCTCTTTATTCACTGATCAAAGTTATAGTGCAAACTTTCCGTACATTTTTTAAATTTGCTTATGCCCAAAAATTAGCCTAGTTCGATAGAACCCAGTAGGAGTGTACATAGGTTGAGTTGCTTCGAATTGTATAATTATCAAACAAAACCAATTGTGTCGGGTTATTAAATAGAAAGACCAAACCAAACCAATAAAACTCGGATTTTGCACTCTCGGGTTTTTTCGGGTTGTTGGGTTATTCGGGTTTTCTCGGGGGTTTTTTCTAGTAAAATCTTCGTAGAAGAAAACATATAAATTGTGCTCAAAATATTTCTTTAATCCTAGTAAGATACAACTATATAAAGTATTTTTCAAGAAAATAATACAAAATATGAGATGTGTTATGACATTATCCCAAAATATTCAACAATAAAGACAATAAAATTATGTAATATAAATATTACTAATTAAAAAATCATAATAAAAATAACCATAATCTAAAAGTACTAAGTCATGCTAAAATAAGTAGACTAATAAGGGAGTATTAAAAATTTTCGAACACACATTACAACACGAAAACGTACTACATTATCTAGAGAGAGAAGCTAGAGCGTCTCTCTAAGCTTGCCCCTTTGTGTCGATATTCTCAAGAAAAACAACGTTCCTATAACGTTCAATTTAGGACATAATGCAACCAAGCTCCACCATCGGAAAGGTGCTAGGCCCACCGCCGGTTCCGCCGGATTCATGTAACATGCAAATTAGTGATTTCCCTCCTCTAAACCTCGCAAATCCAACAACTTCCAAGACTAATCAGACCCCAAATCAGCTTCTGGTATATCCAAATGGACCTACTCCGGTCATTGGAACTTCAATGATCAGTGAAAATCAAAACAACTATGCATCAAGACTCGGAGGTTCCGGCGCCCATGGAAACACCTCTAAGAAGAAGATCCATCTCAAACACAGACCCTACGAGATTGTCGGAGGAAAACTAGTGGTCAGCTTCACAAAAGAGGAACATGATTTGTTGGCTGAAACATGTCGTCTCACTATTGTGGGTATATTTCCCAGAACTAGACCATCTATTGAGCGGATTCGAACTGAATTTCTTAGAACAGTACTAGTCAAAGGTGCCATCAAAATAGGAGCTTACAACCTCAAAAATATTTTCATCGATTTCGATTTGGAGGAAGACCACAAGAGTGTCTATGGCAGAACCAACCTGATAATCGCCGGTATGCAAATGAAGCTGCAGAAATGGACTACGGATTTTAAGCCTGGAATTGAGACTACTATGGCCCCAGTTTGGATAAATTTACCAAATCTCCGGTGGCATTTCTTTGAATGGGCGGCTCTATGTCGTATTGTGGAGCCAATTGGTATTCCAATCATATGTGACAAAGCAACCTTATCAAAAACTAGACCTACTACAGCAAAAATTAAGGTTGAAATTGACATTACCAGGCCCCTCGTTAAAGAGGTCTTGATTGACATTGTCTATAAGGAAGGCCAGAAGAAAACTGTAATTCAAAAGGTTGAATATGAAACTATTCCTGAGTATTATGGTCATTGCAAAATGCAGGGTCATAGCGATATAAACTGTGGTATTCTTCATCCTGAGTTGAGGCAATCTTCAGCAAAATATGGGAACCAAGTTAACAAAACTTCTATCATACAGAACAAGAGCATGGAAGCTACAGGGGGAAAGGTCAACAAGAAAATGGAAATTGATAAATGGTCTAGTTCCAGTAGAGACAACAAAGGACATGGTTTAGCCACTATGGAGGTAGAGAATATGGATAAAGAGGAAGGGTGGACTACTGTGACAAATAACAAAGGAAAGAAGAAGGCAAAGAGTATTTCTAATAATCTTCAAGGCAAAAATATCTCAATTGCCAACTTAAACACTATAAAAGAGGCTCTTAAGGATACATTTGAAAGTAATGTGTTTGTTTCTGGAGAAAACAATGCTACCAAGGAGTTGACATCAGTGAATGAGCAGCTCAAAATCACTTCATTGAGAGAACAGAATCAAGGGAACGAAGGGCGACATAGGATCCAACCTGTGAATATTAGGAAGATTAAAAGATCAAGAAAAACTTCTCTACTCGAAAAGGCAGATACACCTTATGCGAGGAACAAGCATCAACAAGATCCAACAAGTAGCAAAAGGGATAGCAAAACCAACAAGGAAGAATCATGGAAGTTGGATACAAAGCAAATTCAACAAGCTATGATGAATGATTCTCATACTCATAATTTTCTCGATGTGGCTGAGAGATTAAAGCTCCCGGAAGAGCCAGATGGGAAGCAAGTTGATACCATTGCTAGCGGCAAGGACATGCTATGGAAAACATAGCAATAGAGTCAAATTCTCAAGAGGAAGATAATAAAGTGGATGAATATTCTCACTTCAAAACAAAATCAGAGGAAGAAGTTGAAGAGACTCAATTCCAAAAAGAGCAATCTTCAGTTTCTGATGGCGAAGCCTGCACCAAAGACAAACAGGCTATAAATATGGAATGTGAAGCAGTCAGGAGGTTAATCAGGAGGTTAACTCATGACCAAAAGATAATTGCTGATATGGACAATCTTTCTCCAAGGGGTTCAGATGGCAATCAAAATGGGTGCCTTTCCACGCAGAAGACCAAAGCTATCAAGAAGTCAAACATAGTTCTTACTCCAATACTCTCCAATGATTAACACTCTTTGTTGGAATATTAGGAGTATAAAAACTCAAAGTGCCTTTGAGAGACTCAAAACTCTCAAACAACAACATAATATTTCCCTCATTTTCTTACAAGAACCTAAAGTCAAGGTGATTCGAATGAGTCAGTACATGAGGCAGCTTGGGATGTATAACTGTTACTCTAATATCAACAACAAAATATGGATCTTTTGGTCAAATGATTTTGAGGTTGACATTATCAAGGACACTGATCAGCTAGTTAATTGCAAGATTAACTACAAAGTTACTAATACTTAGTTTCACCTCACATCTGTGTTTGCTAAATGTAGATCCATTTTGAGAAAACAATTGTGAGCTGATTTGGTTAATTTTGCAGGCTCCCTCAATGGACCTTGGGCAGTTATAGGTGCTTTAATGTCATCTCTGACCCTGAGGAAAAAATAGGAGGCAATCCGTACAGAATTGACAAAAGCTTCGACTTTATAGAATGTTTGTCAGATTGCGACTTACAAGATGCAGGTTTTCTTGGTAATATTGTTACTTGGTGCAATAACAGAGGGTCTCCTGGTACTATATGGAAGAGGTTGGATAGGATGGTGTATAATTCTGAGTGGTTTAGCATATTCGATAGAACCACTGTTACTCACCTGGCCAATGCTTGTTCTGATCATGTCCCTCTTCTGATTCAGTTTAGCCATAATGAAGAAGCTAATGTCAAATATTTCAAATTTCTCAATTTTTGGACAGATCATGCCGACTTCCTTGATGTGGTTAAAAGTACCTGGCAAGAAGAGTGTAATGGCAATTCACTATGGATCCTTCATTAGAAGTTGAAAAAAACTGCATCTAGACTTAGTTCCTGGTCGAGAGAGGCTTATGGAGATATTCATGAAGAACCTAAAAGATTGGAATTGGAAATCGCCAATCTTGAAGTTCTTAATATAAATGACAACAGTGATGTCAATAGAACTAACTTGAATAAAACCAAAGCTGAGTATATTAGATACCTTAAGATCCAGGATTCTATTTTAAAGCAAAAAGCCAGAGTAAAATGGCTAAAGGATGGGGATTCTAACTCTGCCTATTTTCACAATGTCATCAAGGATAAGAGAAGGAGGTTGAATATCAATAAGATACAAAATGAACATTACCAATGGGTTGAAGGGACTAAAGATATCTCAGAAGCGGCAGCGAGATAGTTTCAAGGGCTCTTTTGTCAGAAAGATGTACAGAATAATTTCTCGGATTTTGGATTTTATAGAACCTTCTATGTCTGAGGATGTAAACTCTAAATTGACTGCATTACCTACTGAGGAGGAATTGAAAGTTTGTGTCCTTTCTATGGACCCAGATAGTTCTCCTGGACCGGATGGTTTTACAACAAATTTTTTTCAAAAATGCTGGTCCATTATTGCTTCAGATTTGTTCAAACTCTCATTTTTATTTTCTGTGGAGCAAATTTTCCCAAGTGGTTTATACATACCTGCATAGTCATGCTTCCCAAGGTCCCCTCCCCCCAACATTTCAATGATATAAGACCCATTAGCCTATGCAATATTATTAGTAAACTGTTTTCTAAGTTACTTAATTCCAGGCTGAGCATTATTTTACCAGATTTGATAAGTTGGAACCAAAGTGGTTTTGTGAAAGGCAGAGCTATTACTGAAAATATTTTACTTGCTCAGGAAATCATCCAAGATATTGGAAAAACAAATGAGAAAGGAAATGTTGCATTAAAACTTGATATGGCTAAGGCATATGATAGAGTGTCGTGGTCTTATCTATGTGTTCTAATGAGAAATTTAGGTTTTAGTGAAACTTGGATTGACAACATTTTCAGACATATCTCTAGCAACTGGTATTCTCTAATTGTTAATGGCACTAGGCAAGCCTTTTTCAAATCTGAGAGAGGTCTAAGACAGGGAGACCCTATCTCTCCTTCTCTGTTTGTTATTTGTGCTGAATTTCTTTCTAGAATAAATCACATTGCTTCTCTTAATGCTTTTAAAGCCTTTCATATGAATAAGAAAGGCCCTATTATTAATCATCTTGCCTTTGCTGATGATATCATTCTCTTTTCTAGTGGTTGCAGGAAATCATTAGGACTTCTTATGGAGGCTCTTACTGATTATGAAAGAGTTTCAGGAAAACTGGTCAACAAGCAAAAATCTTGTTTTATTCTAAATCCAAATGCTCAACCAGAGGAAATTTCAAGGGTGGAAAGCATCATTGGGATGGAGCACAAAGCTTTACCTATAAAATATCTGGGATGTCCACTATATGTAGGAATGAAAAAGATAGTTATATTCTCAGAAATGATAACCAAGGTCATCAACAAAATTTTAGGATGGCACACTAAATTTCTGTCCTCTGGTGGCAGAGCAGTGTTGATCAGGCATGTTCTTCTTGCATTACCAACTCATCTTCTGGCAGCTATTCACCCTCCCAAAGGTGTGCTTAATCAAATAGAAAGAATTCTTAACAGATTCTTTTGGGGAGGGTTTGCAGAAAGAAGAAGATATCATTGGTCTTCCTGGGATAAGCTTCGCTTTCCTTATGAAGAGGGGGGAACAAATTTCAGGAAACTTTAAGATATATGCAATGCCTTCACAACAAAACAATGGTGGAATTTTAGGACTGGTCAGCCCCTATGGAAGAAGTTTCTTATGGCCAAATATTGTCAGAGAGTTCATCCGGTTATGAAGAGATGGTATTCAGGTCAATCTCAATCATGGAATGCCATGTGTAAGATCAAAAAGGTGGTGGATAAATAAATTCTATGGAAGATCGGAAGAGGAGAAGTGTCTTTATGGTTTGACAATTGGTCTGAGCTTGGTCCTCTTTATGATTACCTCCCTCCTGGTCATAAACCAAATAATTTGAAGCTCGTGGATATGGTATTGAACAATCAAATCAATTGGAAAGGTTATGATCAACTTCTTCCTCAACAGATTGTCTTTAAAGTCAATAGTCTCTTGTCACGACCCAAATCCCGCACTGGTCGTGATGGCGCCTCTCGTGAAGACGAGGCCAACCAACTAACCCAACTCATCTTTTCAAAAGTAGTTAAACACAAATAAACAGCTTAAATATGACTTAATAGTATTAATTAGCGGAAATACAACCCAACACAGCCCTAATCAGGGTGTCACAAGTCACGAGCATCTATCAGAATGTAAATCCACTACAAGGCCTAAAATATACAAAACCAGAATAATGAACAAAAGAGAGAAACATGGTGCTGCGAACGCTGGCAGTCACCTCCTTGACTCATGTAACTCTGCCTCTGATCGGCCAAAACCCGCTACCGGGTGAATAGATACCTGCATCTGCACACGAGGTGCAGGGAGTAAAGTGAGTACTCCAACTCAGTGAGTAATAAAGGTAAATAACAACTGAGCAGTAAGAAATCACGTAAAGCAAACCATCATGCTGTATAGAAGCAGGGTACCATCCTTTGAGAAAACAGTGAAATCTTTGGAAATATCTTGGCTCAGTTTAAATCTCTTTTGAAAATGATCTTTTCAACAGTTACGAAATGATTTCAAAACAGTTAGTGCCGATAAACACAGAAAATCCGCCCCTCGGGCACAAATACCACAGTATAAAAGGTACAAAGGCAAGTAAATATGCAAGATGAGCACATAAAATTTCGCCCTTCGGGCAATATCTCAAAACAATACCAGCCCCTCGGGCTCAATATCAATCGCTCAGAACAGTATCAGCCCCTCGGGCTCAGTATCAGTCACTCAGCATAGCATCAGCCTCTCGGGCTCACTCTCAGATCATATGGGTACCCGTGCTCACTGTGGGTGTGCAGACTCCGGAGGGGCCCCTTACGGCCCAAACGCTATATCAACATAAGGCCTGAAAGCCTTCTCATATCACACATAAGGTCTGAAAGCCCTCTCACATCACACTCGAGGCCTGAAAGCCACGTCACATCACACTCGAGGCCTGAAAGCCTTCTCACATAACACTCGAGGCCTGAAAGCCTCCTCACATCACACTCAAGGCCTGAAAGCCTTCTCATATAACACTCGAGGCCTGAAAGCCTCCTCACATCACACTCAAGGCCTGAAAGCCTCCTCACATCACACTCAAGGCCTGAAAGCCTTCTCAGTCCAGGAAACATCATAAGCCCCTCGGGCATCATTAAAATAATAGTGCTCAGCCCAAACAATAGTGGAAATATCATTAAAGTCTCGAAATTCAATTAAAGTGGCTGAGTTTGTAAAACAGTATAATTATTAGGACTGAGTTCAAGTATTATATCAAAACAGTGAGGAAACAGTGATAACAATCCCCGAAGGATTCAAGTAGTCGGCATTAAGCCCAAAATATGGCAATAAGCCCAAATCATGATGATAAACAGAACAGCTCATTCAAATACGCGGCAAATATCAAACGGGACGGACCAAGTCACGATCCCCAGTAGTAAACAACCCCGCGCTCGCCATTAAGCGCGTGTTTCACCTCGATATAGCACTACGTTGTGCAAATTCGGGGTTTCAAACCCTCAGGATATCATTTACAATCATTACTCACCTCAAGCCGGCCAAAATCCTAGCTCGTATGCCCTTGCCTCGCAAATCTACCTCCTCGTGCGTCGAATCTGATCAAAACCACAACGAATACGTTACAATAGGCTAAGGGAACATAACCCAATCGAAAAGACCTGAAAAATATCGAAATTCACGAAATTTGCAAAACCCGAGCCCCGGGACCACTTCTCGAAAATTAGAAAGTTTAACATCATCGGATTCCTTATCTCGCAGAGTCTATACATACCAAGAACTCCCAAATCCGAGCCCAAATGCCCAATCAAAACCCACTTTAAAATACCAAAAACCAAGCCCTAGCTTTTCCCCCTTTTTGATGAATTTCCATAAATTTCTAGGTTAATTTTTCCATTAAATCATGTATTTAGGTCATAGAACTCACCTCCAATTACACCCAGTCGAAATCCCCTTCAATTTCCGTCCAAAAGCTCTCAAGGTTGCTCAAAAATGGTGGAAAGTTACCTTAGCTCGCAGATGAAATATTATTTTTAAAACCCTTTTGCCCAGACCTCATTTTCGCTTCTGCGATTCGATTACCGCATTTGCGGTTTACGCTTCTGCGGAAATTATTCCGCTTCTGCGGTGCTTCACTCAACCGCCTGGACCGCTTCTGCGGTCTATATCCGCTTTTGCGGACGCCGCATATGCGGACCACAATCCGCTTCTGCGAAAGTCCACCAATGGCCCAAAATCCGCACCTGCGTTCCTATCTTCGCATCTGCGGAACCGCATCTGCGGCCCCTTTTCCGCAGATGCGGAAATACCAGATACCAGCAACTATCAGTAGTGCTACAAGTCCAAATTCATCCCGATGACCATCCGAAATCACCCCGAGGCCCCCGGGACCTCAACCAAAAGTGCCAAACCATCCTAAAACATCATTCAAACTTGCTCTAATCATCAAAACACCACAAACAACACCAAAATCATCAAATTACACTGGATTCAAGCCTAAGTTCTTCTAAAACTTCCGAAATACGCATTCGATCAAAAACCCGACCAAAACACCTCCGAATGACCTGAAATTTTGCGCACACATCCCAAATCAACTAACAAAGCTACAACAACTCTCGGAATTCCATTCCGAACCTCAGATCAAAATCTCACCTATCAACCGGAATTCGCCAAAATACTAACTTTGCCAATTCAAGCCTAATTCTACACCGGACCTCCAAAATCACTTCCGATCACGCTCCTAAGTCACAAATCATCTAACGAAGCTAACCATATCATAAAAACTCCAATCCGAGCTCTTATACAAATAAGTCAACTCTCGGTCAAACCTTTCAAATTCAAAGCTTTCAACTGAAACTGTTCTTTCAAATTCATCCCAAATTATCCTGAAAACCAAAACCAACGATCTACATTCTTCATAATACATAACACGGGGCAATTCATGCCTGAGAACTGGCGATCAAAGTGCAAAAGCTCAAAACGACCAGTCGGGTCGTTACATCTCTGAATCCAAGTGAAATCATCTATTCCTGATAAAGCAATCTGGAGTGCGGATAACAACGGGTCATTTTCAGTGTCCTCTGCCTGGATTTGTTTAGAAAAAAGTAGCAACAAACTTGGGTTAATTCTATGAATTGGCAGAAAGGTATTCCTTTCAAGATGAACTTCATAGTGTGGAGGGCTTTGAGGGACAAAATTCCAACTGATGCGAGAGTTACTAAGCTGGGTTATTCGATATCATCTAGATGTTGTTGTTGTGGTTCCCCAGGAGTAGAAGATGCGGATCATTTATTCTGCACTGGCTCGTTCACAAAGAACATATGGAAAGTATTATGTGGACCTTTGGGAATTGCACACAGTGAGATACCTTTCAGACAACTCATGGTGAATTGGTAGAGGTGTAAGGTAAATAATCCAGTTCATGATTTCTTAATTAAGTGTTTTCTTGCCATTGCTTCTTGGGAAATCTGGAAAGCTAGGTGCAATGCCAAATATGATAATGTTAGAGCTAATGTGAGAAGATCAATTTCTTTGGTTGCTTTCTCTATTGCACAACTGGTGAACAATCAATTCTAGCAAGTACAGTTGTGTCCACATTGGGATGATATCAGTCAACTAATGAGGAGCTCAATCAACTTTGAAAAATCCATGGTGATTAAATGGATCAGACCTTGTTTGATGGAGTGACGAGATTAGATATATTCGAACTTGGTGGAATTTTTGTTTGTGATGTGGTGTCATCGTCCTTTTTTGAACTCATTTAGGCTCGTCAGTGTGATGGTCTTCATTAGTTTGCCTTCAGGGTAGGGTGTTGTGAAATGGTACCTAAGAAGAGGGTATCAGAGATGGAGGTGTGTGGCAGTTTTAGGCTTGAATCGGTGTTTCTAGTGTTGATAAAAATGTTCTTTATGGAGACTTAGAGTTTGTGGCAATTCATTAGTTTGGATTCTAGAGAGATGGATTATGATTTGAGGCAGTATTTTAGTAATGAAGGCTGAGGAGTAACATGGAGGGTTATGTCTCGCGATAGATGAGTTTTTAGCAGGTCAAGTGTGGGCATTAGAGATCGAGTAGTTTGCTTAGGAAGTTTGAATGTGACGGGAAGAGTTTGCTTGGAACGTAGAGGGATGTGAAAGCTGGATTATCCTTTTGGGATGCAGCATGACTTCGAGTTTTAGAACATATTATTGGACCTTTAACTGATGCTAATGGTATAAACAAACTCTTACATCTAGCGGATGAGTGTGGACCTAGGAGAATCAATTGATTTCATAATGGACGTGGTCATGGCTATACCGTTGGAGGATGTCGGTATGAGGTTACACATGTGGGCTATCTCCTATGAGAAGGTTAGTGGTTGCATGACTCCTGATAAAGTTTCTATAAAGAGTTTTGCCTTCTATCCAATGGGATGCATATATTACGATGTGAGCTTGGATTTCTTGAAGAAGATGGTACGGCTATCAGGAGGTGGAGTGTGCGATTGTGGATGATAATTCTGGATTTGTTATGATTAGTGCAACTAGAACCTATGAGAAATTTGGTTGAGCAACGGTGCAAGATCATGGTAACCG